CCTAAAGGGATGCCTAAACATAGTAGTTTGGGACATGGAATGTCATATACACCAACATTCCAAATACTACCAGATAATTAATTGCACCGATGTTGCAGGCTTTGTATATTAGTTACTTAGAGTTTAATTTATTATAGCTAAGGCTGCTGTCCGTATCTACCCTACAATCGAGTGTACACCGCCTTCACAATAGTTCGTTCTTCCGTGTGTGGATATATGTACCAATGATTGCGTGTGTGTATATATGTGTACCAATGATTGCGTGTGTATATATGTGTACCAATGATTGTGTGTGTGTATATATGTGTACCAATGATTGCGTGTGTGTATATATGTGTACCAATGATTGCGTGTGTGTATATATGTGTACCAATGATTGCGTGTGTGTATATATGTGTACCAATGATTGCGTGTGTGTATATATGTGTACCAATGATTGCGTGTGTGTATATATGTGTACCAATGATTGTGTGTGTGTATATATGTGTACCAATGATTACCTTTGTGTATATATGTGTACCAATGATTGTGTGTGTGTATATGTGTACCAATGATTGCGTGTGTGTATATATGTGTACCAATGATTGTGTGTGTGTTCCGTAGTCACTGACATAAACAAAATAAATAAAAAGGGCCGAGTCTGATACCCTATGGAACAACTGTTACAATATAGTGTTACAATTAGGAAACATGTTGAAAAATACCTAATTGATCGGTTCCATGTTATCGCAGTATTGTCCTTTGTAATTATAATATTCTATTACATAATTTGAAATTCAAAATATATCTGTATTATATATCATCGCACAACTTGTTTCGGTGTGAATAAAACATCACCCTGAGTGCAACAAGTTCATTAACATATCAACGAAATGTAACACGTCTTCAATAGGGATCCATTCCATAATTCTTGTGTTATGTGTGTACATTTTATTATAAAGGTCAATTATACTTTCTTGTCATATTTATATATTCCAGTTTGCCGTTTCAAACCAAAACAAGCTGTTTGTTTACATAATGTTATGCAATAGAAATCTATACTCATCGAGGAAAATGCATATTAATAAAAAAAAATAGATTAACTCATTTTTTTTCTCTCCACTGAATTGCCGAATGTATTAAAGCTGTTACGCAAAGGTGACAAACACAGGTGAGTAATATTAATTCATTTATTTGTTGATGTCTTTCGAAAATCCGTTCGCAATCATATATTCTGGAGTTGTTGAACGCAAGTTTTATGTAGTCATTTACTTTAGCTAGTGTTCCACATAGATCCATTCTACGTCCCTTTTTATTTATTTTGTTATGTCAGTTAGGTGTTATCTACAGAAAACACAAGCATTAAAAATGCATTATTCTACAATCTTAATATGGCGTCTCTAGAATAAACTCCAGTTTGACTTTCATCATATCAAAAGGTGTTCTACAAAGAAAATACTGAAATGTGGTACCACCTCAAAAAGCATTGAGGATCCAGACAGAACACACCCTTAATTTGGACCCAATTCTGGACATATCGTTTTATGAAGTGTAATCCAAATCAAATAAAAGCTGTGATCGGTGTAAATAACATATTTACACTGTAATATTCAGAAAGGTAAGTATATATTTACATTCCTTGTGTCAAAAACTGCAAGCGTCGACACCATCAAAGAGGACTTGAGTAGGTCAGAAGCAAATATATTGCTCTGAATAAAATTTCAATGGAGGCCGTCTTTGAAATCCAAGATGGCCATCTGGTAATGATTACATTAAATAATTCCTAAGAAAAATTGAAACTAAGATGAAGATTAAGTGTTCTAGTCCGTAATGTCTACCCCTTTCTCAGATCTAGCCTGAATACCAGGCTTACTGTTTACTCTGATCAGTGAAAATCTGTTTACGTAAAACGATGGTTAAAGCCTTATTTAAGAATGCGTTGGATTATCTTGTTTTATACATGAATGAACATTCATTCCTTAATTGGCATCTCTTTCAACATCCAGGCTACATGTAATTAGTCTGATTCAGACGATTTGATAAAATCTTGATATTTTAGAATGCCGCGAAAGGCAAGACCGTCATGTATCAGCCAAATCTACTTATACATAAATCTTACGTCAAATCTATTTATACATAAATGTGGAAAAACCATAGCAAGCGACACGACAAGTGGTCATAGTTAATTTTGTCGATGAAATAATATCAGGAAAATTATTTGAATGGAAAGATGCATACCTCAAATGATCTATTGACATAGCACTGTACAATGGGGGAGGTAAGGCGAAGCTGTAGAAATGCAACAAAAATAAAATTAATTGTTTTCGAGATATTAATCAAATGTATTGCTCTAGTCTTGGACACAGGATGGAAGTGATTACGAAATACATTTAAAATAACTATTTGTGTTCCTTGTTTGGTATGCTTAGAACAAATTAAAATATGAAGGCAGCACACAGCCAGATTTATGAAAAGCTAAATAAGATGGATGTTGCATTGGACAACAAAAGCAGAGAAAGTAAACCTTACAGGATAAATGATTTGTACATTTAATCTATCAATACAACTTTTATTTAAATGGGAAGTTAAGCAATTAAAGTATTGCGAAAATGTGCAAGTCACACACTTTCTGCATGCGTCACCGTGATAAAGGGAATGTCTTTCTGTGACATCTCTGTATTGAATGAGTCAGCACCGTTCGTCACTTCTGCTTCAAATCATGTGAGCAAATCTGCATACTTCTCGGGAAACCAGATTTCTCTTTTAATTGCATGAAATGCATGCGCGAGCATCAAAATATATGCGTATTAAATACGTGTCCATATTCCATAATATAAGTGTGTATTAAATGTATGCATATACAACAAAATGTGTGTATTAAAATATGAAAAATCACGTGTGTGTAAACTCAGTTACTCCCGGTGACTTCGTTATGACAGTAAAACTCGTCCGATATATTTACATACAATATAAATAGTGAAACGCATGTCATCTTTTCTGACAATGGTTCTTGTAAAATCAGAAGATTTTTTTTTTCTTAACTTCCCCATAAGGAAAGAATTACATAATGAAGATCTACACTAAAACTAAAGGACAGTAATAAATAGGGGTCATATATAGATCTTAATCGTTGTTAGGTTATAACACCACGAGTCTACTGGCTCAAATATATTCCTTCCATAGGTCCTCCGATAGTGAAAGACGCCACTAAAAAAAAGATAATTATTATATGTACTCGTTACTATAATCCATTAAAGATTTCTCCACTTAGTCCTCAGGTGGAACAGAAAAAGATTAAGGCTCGTGGGCCTAGGCGCTCCGTGTCAAGTTTTCTTGCAATATTATCCATTCCTTTGTATTAAGGAGACTATGTCGAGAACCAGATCGACAGCCCAAAATGACATGATTTACTTTAAAGTGTTGCCGAAAGTTCATCCGTTAAGCTGTTTTCACGGCAATAAACCGATGGAAAGACATATTGTCCTTAAATAAATTATTCAAAAAGATAAAGTGAGAGTTTCACGGTTATAATACATTTGTTTCTGTATTCGGTTTAATCGCCGTGAAAATAGCTAAACAAATGAACATTTGGCGAATTTTCAAACGATTTTTTTTCAATTTGGCCAGGTCAGCGAGTTCTTGAGATATCTTTCATATTTTTATTTACATATAGGATCAGCTAATAAATAAATAAAATATTGACAACGCCTTTTGCAAGTCAATTGTATTTAATGAGTGAATAAGTGTAAACACAGAAAAAACAACCTGCAGGTAATCTCACAAAAGATTGTATCACGGTTCAGCACTGACGGCAGGCCAGGTTGTTCTCCCTACATCCTTACAAACAACAGATAAAATAGATGTAATTGTGCACGTATCAGGTATAAATGTCGTACTAGGTAAGTTTTATCAAACACTGGTGCACCAGGTAAGTTCTAAAGGATCAATAGCCACTTTTCTTGTATGTAACCCAGTTATGTTTTATATGACAGTAGATGCATTACGTAAAACGTGGCAAGTGTAGTGTTTGATAAACTTGTTTTTACATTAGAGTATGCTTCCTCCTATTACTTCATAGGTAGGGACGGATCCATGATTGTTGAAAGGATTTCTCATTTTGTTTTTCATTTTTAGCTTTTTTCCCAACGCAATTGAAACAGGAAAATAAAAATATGTTCGAGTGTGATTAAAAATGCACTGCCGAACGCAGCGAAACGATTTATTTTCATATTGAAACAAAATTTATATGCCCAAAAAGTGTGGGCCCCTCCCCTTACCATGATTTGTAATACACGTTGTACTTTTGAATAATGTGTATCGAGGTGTAGCGAAAAACAGAAATGTACAAACTTTGTGTTTGAATGTTATTATGTTTTGAAAATATCTTAATACATTTTTGCCAAAGGTCTTCTTTCCTTTGTGACCTTTGGTTATCTTATCATATGAGGCTGTGGTCTCTGATATAGCTTCAGTCTCTCTACTCCAGGGAGGGACGCTCCGACGATGTCATAGCTTCGGATAACTAATTTTCGATTCGGTCGCCACACTAAAATACCGGTGAATAAACTAATCAACGGTAATAATGGCGATAGTTTTACCCGGATTTTACTAATCTGCGAAAAGGCCCGGAATTCACATCACAATAAAGTACATATACAGAAGAAGTCTATATCTGTTAGAAATGAGTAACGCGCCATTGGTTGCATACACACCATGGTGTATGTGTATAGGGGAGGGAGAACGCGGCCGTCTTACAGATAACCTCTGTTGTTGGTTTCGTGCTTTTCTTAATAACATACGTGTGTTTGTAATTAAAATTTATCATTTAAGAATCAAATAAATTGTACAAAAAAAATCAGAATATCCAAATAATTAAAGTGTCGGATATATTAATAGTTACGTTGTAAAATTTCCATGTAATTGACAAATCATCATCCTGGTCGTAAGATCAGCCCATCTTGCATCACATTTACATACTTGCATATGCAGTCACATGACTTCCGCGATCTGTGTTATAAATACTGAACCAAATTTTGAAAAGCAGGAGAAGCGGACCGACATTTTTTAGAAAGTCAGACAATCAAACTACTATTATTCGTTTTTTAAGTTTTGAAGAAAAGTATTTTGTAGTATTTTTGAAGAAAAGTATTTTGTTATCAAGAATTATTTAGGGGCTATTTCACAATGGCAAATGTAGCAGACTTTTACAACAAGAACGGATACTTTCCTGAGATAACGGTTTTGTCAGCAGACGAAGTGGCCGATTTACAGACAAAATTCGGAGAGCTAGAAGAAAATTCAGGTAATGAATGATAGAAATGATGTTAGGGGTATCGTTATACAAAATGAATCATCCACTGCCGTTCCTAATAAGAAGGGAGTACAATAATTAATGGCTGCGTCGGATGTACGTCCGTCGTGTTAAAACAATAAGTACTTACGAGAGATATTAACACATTGAATAGTTTGTTTCCTTTAATTCTTGTGTCATGTGTGTATATTTTATTATATAGGTCAATTATACTTTCCAGGGGCGTTTCTAGGATATTTAAAGAGGGGGCATAGAATCAAATCTGTCGCCGAGCGGAGCGATGCGGAAAAAAAATTTGGACCTTTCTTTTGCTAAAAAACCCATAAAATAATTGTGAAATGCACTAATGTAACGGATCCTAACTTGGAGCATGTATATTTTATAGTTTAAGTGTCAGAGTTTGACATTTTTTATGCCGAATTTTCTCCATTAATTGTCTATTGTATATTAAAATGATTGGATGGATCTTAACAGCAGTAGACCAATAACGAGAAATTCCAAATTCTAGGGTATAAGGCGTTACTTAACATTTCAATAGTCCTAGGCCAGGATTTTATGAACGGGAGGCGTAATTACGGTTGCCCTGGTTGAGGGTCCATGGGGAAACTCAGAAGCTCCTGGATTTCAACAATTTAGCATCAAATTATGAAGTAGCCAGACTGATAAATATCTCTCTATTTTAGATTAAGTTCTGGTTTCGTTGAACGACACACATGATACAAGACAAACACACACTGAAGTATAAAGTTCTTTCGTTCTAAATATTGTAGGCTTTAATGTGGAATACATGATTGAATATGAAAACATTTACGGATCACCCATCGGATGGGGGAATCAGTATAAAAAGAAATCAGAGTATGTGTTTAATTAATGAATATGATAAATTGCCATATTCAATACAATATTAGCAGATTACGAT